TATTACATTTTGTAGCATCACTTTGAAACACCCAGTATAAAGAAAAAGTGTTCATGTACGGATTCCGCGAAATTTCAAACATCCATAACTCAAGCACTAATCAACCGAATATTAATCAATTATATATGATATAGGGGTAGAAAAGACTGGAAAGAATAATAGAATTAGAAATAGCCCGATATCTCAAAATTTGCAAAAGTTAGAGCAACCACAGACATTTCTCAAAAAATTCAAGATTTTTTCAAAAAGAAACCCATTTACCCATCATCGCAAAAATCAATACCAACTTTCCTTTAGCGATTCTCGACATTAAAAAAAAATTAGCCCGATATCTCAAAATTTACGAAAGTTAGAGCAACCACAGACATTCAAATGCGTACATACACACACACGCACACGCACACGCACACGCACACGCACACGCACACGCACACACACACACACAGACATTTTGTAAAAATATGATTTTTAGACGTTTTAAAACATTTTAAACATATTGCCAAAGAAAACTGGAAAAAATTTTTTTCACGAAAACAAAGCTTCCTCTATGAGGAAGCAAAACTGGTAGCAATATGACCAAGAAAAGCACAAGAAATACCAATGAAATACACCCGAAAGCACAAAGAACAAATAGCCGCAATAAGGAACATAGCGCAATAATATGCCAGGTTGTCGGAAATTTATTCACAAGACGGCACACACAACAGACTAGCGCAATCGCTAAATACCGCGAAAGAAAGAACATACTTGGGGTGGAGAAGTGCCAACGCGAGGCTTTCCTCTGTAAAGTCGATCCAATCTGCCAACGTGGCTCTCAATTATCACTGACAAATACCACGAAATGTGGGAAGGATATACGCCACGAAACACATGTACTGACGGACTCTATTCCGGTCCATAACTTCTCGGTTCCGCGGATGACACGCGGTTTTAGGTACATGAGGGAATCCACGCAACACGTACGTGAGCCTCGTAGCGAGCACGAAACGTTATTTCCATCGGAACGGTTACGAACCACCGACGATAACGCAAAACACAATACGAAGAATAACGAGAATCCCTATTCTACGCCAACATACGTTCGGGATCACGTTCGGTGACTTCAACTTAAACATGGTACGCGATTTTGACGCGAATCTGACGTCAACTCACGAACGTTTCCTCGAGATGACCGGATAATTATTCACGCAAGTTATGCGTTCGCCGCAATAAGTTTCGGTTTTCGCAAGGTTCGACATGCACGGAACCTTCGTAACGTCTTTTCGTCCGACCTCCGAAGACCGCTCAAGAACTGAAATACCGCGACCCAAAACTCTGTACAGTACGTGGCAAGAACGCCTGAAGGCACCTTGCTCTTGGCGCCAATTGTTCGCCCGAAACACTAATTACTCATCCGTTCGCCAGGAACGAGTGCGTCAAAAGGCGAAAAAGAACGCGACGCGACGCTAGAGCGCGAGTCGGCCTCCCCGGTTGCATATGACTTTACATCGACGGAATATTAGAGAGCCATCTCACCGTCTCCTGGAACCCCTGCTGGACACCTCGATTTCTCCGTACGACACGACAACGACATTGGCTCACAGTTAGATCCGGCCGGGTGGACGATCCATGACCGTGACAAAGAGTGCGAAATCTTTCGCGAAAACTGTTAATATTGCGATTGTTCGTCGCGACCGCGAATGGGAGTTGCGCGAGATTGTGGTGGCCCAATTAAGGGGATGCTGGAGTGGGGCCAACTCCGACGGGATAGCGCCCTCATCTGAACGGAATTAAAAATGTCGATAATGTCGGTAATTATCGACATTTGTAATTCCTATATTACCATTCCAAATTATTGATTTCTAGTCGTAAACATGGTATTGGAAATACATGTATATACGTACACACAAGCAACTACAGACTTTGTGGCCGCGGTTC